CTCCCGGCCTCGATGGAATTCCGGGGAAGGCGTGGGTTTATGGCTTGCCCTTAAGAACGGGATGGAGCCGCGCTTTCGCACTCGGTTAACGGCGTGCCTAAGGGAGGGAGTCTTCCCGCGAATGTGGAAAACGGGGAAGCTCGTCCTCCTGAGAAAAGACGGCCGGCCGGCTGATTCCCCATCAGCATACAGGCCCATTGTTCTGCTGGATGAGGCGGCAAAACTTTTTGAGCGCATCATTGCTGTCCGTCTAAAAAGACACTTAGATGGAACAGGCCCAAATTTGTCGCCTAACCAATTCGGTTTCCGCCGGGGTAGGTCAACCCTTGACGCTATAGCTGAACTAAGGGACATAGCGGAAAAGGAGGTAGCAAGAGGGGAGAGCGTTGTGGCAGTGTCCCTAGACATCGCTAACGCGTTTAACAGCCTTCCCCATAGCTGTATAGAGGAGGCCTTAAAACATCATGGGGTTCCTCTATACCTTCAGGCTATAATTCGTGCCTACCTAGCGGGAAGAGAAGTGACATTTCCAACGGTTAATGGCTGGGGTGGGAGGCCAGTGTCGTGCGGTGTCCCACAGGGTTCGGTCCTTGGGCCTCTCCTGTGGAACATAGGCTACGACTGGGCCATCCGCGATATTCGGCTGCCCGGTGTGAAGGCCATTTGTTACGCGGATGATACGCTCGTGGTTACCACGATTCGTGAGGCCGCTATTCGAGTCACGGCGGGAGTTGCACAGGTTNCTAGCCCTATCGAAATACTCTTTTATTTAAGTTCCCAGTAGGACCCTTTTCATGCGATTAATGAATGATATTAAAATGTATTATGTAGAATCGTTTTGCCATTGACAGATACATCTGATGACAGAGCTTACATTATTTCTACTTTTCATCACCATGAGCGCTGCGATAGATTATGTTACCCCCACCTAGTACTTCGCACCCAGCGAATAGGAGAGGAATAAATTGCAAATAGTTGGTAGAGTATCAGTATCGGCGCGCCGACAGCTGATCGTCGGCGGCGGCGGCGTGAAAAAATTCTCGGCGGCGGCGGCGCGCCGGCGTGGCGCCCACCTCTAGTTCAAACTAATAACATACATTATTATTCCTGATGAACATAGGCTATAGAATATGGATAGAGATATTCTGTGTCAGACCGAAATTAACGCGTGCGAAGCCGCGGACACAAGCTATAGTTATTAATATAATTGTTATTTGAGTTTCGGTCAACTTGTCCTTATAACAAGAAAATCCCCACAAGACCAAGCAATTAGATTATCGTTTTATTGTTGGATTTTATTTACCCGGCCGTAATGAAAATTGCGGTCTGTCATGCGATCCGACACTGTTTGACGGCGCTAATTAAATTTGCTCCTACCCTCACCCCCCACCACAACCACAACACAATGTTAGGTAAACGTAGTCGCTGCGTGCGTGGTCGCTTTGAACTGGGGTACCAATTATTATGTCTGTGTATGTGGTTGAACTGTTTAAATTAAGATTTTGTTTTGAAAAGGTTTACACACGGCTTACGTGTCCCAGCAATTAGAAATAATCATATTGAATATTAGCTGAATCGGCAAACTTTGTACCGCTTCAGTTAATCAGAAAATGTAGGATTTTAATGGTGCAAGAATTTTCCAAATCGGTCCAGGAGTTTCGGAACCTATTCAATACAAACTAAGAAACAATCAAATCTCTATATAGGTTAGTTCTTGATCATAATAACACCTAAAGGGTGTAGATGCGATCTATGATAGAGCTTGATCAGAACACCAGTATGGCGACCACAGAGAAGTTTAATCTATGCTGCCTAATTAATGCAACTATGCCAGGTGAATTTACAAAACCTTGGCGGTCCGCCAATATGTCCAAATAAAGTTGAGTATATGACCTAACCGGATCGTTTTGATAAAACATTGACTACAAGTGATTTGTCTAATGAGTTGGCAAATGATGAGCGTAGGTCATATCTACAACGGGGTTACTCCGAAAAACGTTATCCAAAATTTCGAATGTTGCCATTCTTCTCACGCAAAGCGAGAATCCAGCATGAGCGAAGGTGACAGATAGACCCGAAACTACGTAAACAGCGGAGTAGCCCAGGCCATTACGTGTTGGATCAGTTTCCCCACTAACGCTCATTTAGAGCGGACCCAGGCTTATGATTTCCCGCAGGAGAGATCCAAAAGATAATAAAACCGTTTTTATGGAACTTTCTTATTAAGTGAAAAGTATGAAACAGATGCTAAGAATATGATAGACTAACCCTAAATTAACATAGTTCTACTAATTACACACTATTGTAAACACACACATTTATCTATTTTTTATAGAGCTATAATAATATCTCAGAGCGCCTGAAAGACTATGTAGCCTTCCTTCTTTCGTCAATACCAGTGGTAAAGATATATACGGGACTATTCCCACCTCTCTTTCCCACCACTGCAACTCCTGTGTAGCCAGGATATACAGCTTGACCGCTAATAAAAAGCCAACCAATGAAGGTCAAGTTTGTCCCGGGGGAAAGTGAAACTGTCATTGGACCCGCAACTAAATTAATCAGAAGAACATAAGGAGGAGTTAGAAGTTTTAATCAGAAGACCATAATAGAGTTCGTAGTTAAAGAAATATGGGAAAAGTTGCATTTATCATTTCAGAAGATGAGCTGGAAAGTCAGAGCTTACACATTGTATGCTGAGATTCAGATTATTTTCAAACACATATCATGTCAAAGGTATTCACGTGTCAATTTATTAACGTAACATCCACCCATTTGATCTATTTTAAATCAAGCTCAGTTGCACCGCAGTCGTAATAAAATAAATACCACAAATCCGTGAAAACGGCTGACGAGGGCAGTCGTTTCAATTTGCCGAGTGCCGCACGAAAACTTCGTGGCTGAGCCATAGAATTTATGTTTTGCATTAAAAATGTAAAGGGGCTGAGGTATTTTACAGATTTGGTGAAAAACTTGCGAGGGAAGTCGGGAAGCGTAAGTACTGTCGTAAATCTTGCTGTACGCCGTGAACAACAAACATTGTACAGGTATAGATGACACTAAAGACAGTTGGATCTTATGTGATTGTGATAGGCTCGATTTTGCAATGGAAATGTAGTCTGTTGTGGAGTTGATTGTACTTTGTGCGTCAAACCCTTTATGGGAACAAATAAAGAAGTTATGGTACTGAAAAGATGGCAGGTCTGTACAAAATTGTAGATAAGTTAATTAGTTCGTTTAAATATTAGACCTTGCCTGGCCTAGATGCCATGTTAGAATATAAACATTTGTATGTATGTTATCAACTGAATACGAATGACACTCCGGTTTAAGATAATTGATGAAATTAACCGCTATAGGTGATAACAAATTCATTGATCGCACAACGAGTCGATGTAACCATCCAATCCAACTATAGGGTAAATAATTCATTAGATGTGATGGACTACTTGTGTACTAGTAGTGCTGGAATCAATCAAATCAATAGAGCTTTACCTTGCAGTTAAATTGCTTAGAACTGAAGCTTTAGCTATTAGCTTGTTGAATTTGAATGAAACAAAACAAAAACAGTAGATAACATCCGTCAACATTAGGATGGCTTTTGTACAAAGGTAGCCAATCTGTTTTTCCTACCGTCATTTTTCTAAAAACTGTTTTTGAAAAAAAGTTCCAGTGTTTTTATCTTTTACTTTACCGTAGCATCTAAGGAAGGAAAAACATTAGTTATGCACAGCAGTTTCTAGTCTCTACCAGTCAGTGCATCCTTGCAGTTAGTTTGGTGCCAGTGGTAACCATTACACCCGAACTGCTGAGCTACCCCATTGCACATACATTGGACCAACGGGGCTATCCCGAAAAACGTCATCCGAAGTTTCGAATGTTGCGATCCCTCTCACACGAAGAGAGATGTCAGCATGAGCGACGGTGACAGATAGACCTGAAACTACGTTAACAGCGTTTCAGAGTAGGCCCCCAGACTATCCAATACGATTAGTTCCAGCTAACAACGGCAATAAATTTCCACTAAGTTCGAACAAACTTGGAAAACTTAGAGGCACAGTCGATTACGTTATCGATACAAATCTAAAACTATCCAGCAGTGAAGCCAGTGAATAATTCACGGAAGAAACCGTGGTAAGCAACACGGCGATCCCAGACGGACCCATTCGTCTAGGTGAGCGCGTGATATATTTTATGGGGTAATTTTGACGGGTAGAGGGAGATGGGAGAAATGGTTAAACCCACATGATGAAGCTCGAGATTCTGCGGGTAATACATCACAGTTAATTCTGATGCTTTAAAAGATGTTAAGTATAACGGTGAATCATCATATAAGGCAACCAACACTCGTTTCCAAAGCTGTGTTCGTAGTATCAGTAACTAAAGCAACAGATATAAAATTAATATTGAGCACAGGACAGGGGGAAAACGAAAAGTTTTGCTAAAGGTCTGATTATAGCATCATAAGGAACATAAAAACTGCTATAGACAGAGAATGGTATGACTAACCTGTCTAGACGAATTCGGAACTGTCTATAAATTGTAAGCATTTAGGGGCGGGGTGACAGCCCAACTTAAAATGGAAGCGCATATACAACAGTTCGAAATGTGAAAATACGGTGGCAATTTTCCAAAAAAGTGTCTACAGCTCTATGTTCACGGAACTATTTTTTTATTGATCAAAACGATAATGTCTTCATGAGTAGTGAAAAAGGGTACTGGAGCTTTCTCTAAAGTGGTAAACTTTGTCTTATCTCTCTCATTTCTGTTGCTATTCCTGTTACATATCTCTGAGATCTCTGATAAAGTCATACAAAGTGAGTGATGATTTCCACATCCTATTCCCGCTGCTATAACTTCTGTATAGTATCAGGTAACTATAAGAAAACTAGGAAGATTTCAAGCCAGTGATCGTCTTCCCTCTAGTTTAGAGCGAAGTGAATGACAACAAAGTATATCCAAAGGTGTTTCCTTTGTTAATTCACAAAATTGGTACTCACTCCGCACTGTGACGTTCATTCTGTCGAGAAAGGATGTCTCGTTCTCCACCCCGCACTCGTATAACCCGGAGTCATCCGGGCCTATCATTGGAATGAATAAGCTGCCATCAGTCTGAAACAAACAAATAACGGTTACAGTACCATACATTTAAAAGAAAGATAAGTAAACTAGAAGAAGTTATAGTTATCATCATCATGATTCAGAAGATAATCAAACTAAATAGTTCTCTAGTGCCGTTAATGTCATACATATGGTAGAAGATTTTCTAATTATATGGCTTGAATAGTTAATCGCAATTTCGTCCGGATTGTTTGCCGGTACATTAGGTATCAAAACAAAGTTCTTAATAGTATAGGTCATTTTATAGAGTTCGTCAACATTATAAGAACACGAATATGTAGAGAAGATTATGAACATGATTATAAGAATAGTACAAAAAACAGTTCTCTAACAATATGTATTATTTGACAAACCTAAATCACAGATTACTAATAAGTTTCCCAAATTGATTGTACGTATATAAAATACTTAAAGAAGCACTAAAACAAAACGTTAATAACAATAGCAACATCTGTAATGTAATAGGGTTACAAAATATCTGTACTAACGACTAGTCGTGAAGTGGACGAAGTTTTCACATAAAAATTAATAGCTTGTTTAGATATTGTGCCTTATTGTGACATTGTAATTACAGTTACTTGTCCACAAAAGATATAGGAAATAATACAATAACGTCATGCAATATCCTCTTACGTAGGCAGATGAAATTGTAAACGAGCAGATTATCTGCACAAATTAAAAAGGCTGATCTCCGAATCAGTTGGATCGATTTTGACGGGAATCTCACTGACAGACCTCTGAAATGTGAATAAAATCTGCGACAGCCCGAAATCAACACGAGAAAAGAGAGAACAGCAGCGAGTTAAAACTAGTATAGTTATAGTATGATAAACATAGCTGGAAAATTTATTCAGTTCTCGTTGTAAGATCCGGACAAAGAGTATTGATCGAAAGCAGCCTGTTTCAGAATTTCCAGGATGAGATGTGCTCGAGCAAAGTTGTGCTTAGAAGTGTCCGAAGTAAGGAATAGCCTTCTCAAGTGACGATAAATATACTCATGTCCGGACCATCCCTTGGTCTAACTTTTCTAAGAATCCGCTTAGCTGGGCGATGAAAAAACATGTTCAATTATGGTGCGTAAGCTTTTATTATTTTGATAGGCATATTGGTTAGTTCGGTAGCACATTTGTCAAAAACTGGGATTGCCTCAATTTCGTTGTAAACTATGACTATTAAAATTTGGATTCGAATCTGCCCAAAGAAATCATTCGAACTCGCTGTTCTCTATTAAAATCAATGATTACTTATCGCAGCAGTTGATATAACCAATTTTAATTTACAAACGGACGTATTTTAGACAAATGAAAGATCTTTAGGTTTTATGTCACTCACCACTCACACCACACAAACTCTAAAACTTGACACCTTATAAAACTAGCAGTACAAGAGCCATAACAGCCGCTAGTGTTTTCAGTTCTACCACCATGGAAACTAGCGCAACTTCACCCGTTAATTTCAATTAAGGTGGAGTTGCCCCCCCGACGTATACAAATGCATTTCGACAAGAATGTCCTGTGGGGGTGGGATGTTAATGTGGCAGGGTTCACGGATTGTTATGTAAATATATCGATTGCTGGGGCGTGAAACGTGTACACAGGAACCTGAGATTTTGTAGACAGAAGACGTCGGATAGTTCGGAACTTTAAACTTGAGGTAGTCGCGGAAATAGTAGTTTCGTGGAAGACAATAAACTATATCCTGGATATTATTTCCTAGAATTCAATGGCTTCCACTGAGTGTACACATTAACAAAACTTTGTAAACCCTAGAAACCTGGATATGAAAACGCTGAAGCTGAAGTAAACGAAATGCAAAGTAAGCAAATTGAAACACAAAAAATTTCGTTATTTAGCATTTACAATTTCACACAACTAGGAGACATTCGGGGTTTCCGTTTACTAATCTTCATTCATACATTCATGTTATTCCTCTCTTCGCTTTCGCAAATTACGTATTTGTCTTCTGCTTTAGTAATTTCTTCCATTTGAAATAATGGGGATTCGGATTCCCGTGATTCCTGCGACACGCTCGAGATGATCCTGAACGCGGATCAATATGTAAAATGGAGCACGACAAGATTATTTGCTCCACGCACCATTAACCTGCAATTAACCACGTCCTCTAGAAAATCCATTTGGAATGTTTTCATTTTCAATGGAAGAGGATCAAATTGAGGCCCTTTTCAAGGCATCTATTCAGCCTTTTGTGCTTTTACGCATACACGTTCCATGTAGGGCATGTAATATCGGAAGGTTTTCAATTCCGATATTGAATTCCGATATTAGATCTCAATATCGGAATACCGATATTAATATCGGAATTGAGTTCATGTGCTATAAAATTAATATTTGGTTATATTCGTAAGAATTCTGGATTGTTTACAATAAAATAATGATTGTAATCAAAATCTTTAATTTGGTACAAAATAGCACTTCATAAAATTGAAGTTTTAAAACCATTTTTACGTTATGGGTATCCATTTCATTTGGTTTTTTATGTGACAAGAGGCAAACGAGCAGACGGATCACCTGATAATGAATGGTTACTGATAATGAGCTTATAATTATGGACTAGCAAATAATTAAAGTGTTTTTGTAAAATCACAGGTATCAAACAAACTTTTACTCCTTCATTATATTACCCTGTTTTATGTTGGCGGAACGAATTTTAGAGTCATTCAAATCACGTGCTACAAAAATTGTAGAGAGTGGTAAAAAACTTGAATATGCTTGTAATTTGTTCCTTTTTGATTATCGATGTACAACTCACAAAACCACGAGCCATGATCATCATCATGTCAGCCATAGGACGTCCACTGCTGAACACAGGCTCCGATAATGATTTTTACAATGGCCGGTTGGTGGCGGCCTGCATCCAGCGCCTTCCTGCTACCTTTATGAGGTCGTCGGTCCACCTTGTGGTTATGAGTCCTACGCTGCGCTTTCCGGTACGTGGCCTCCACTTCAGAACCTTGCTGCCTCATCGTCCGTCTGTTTTGCGTACTAAGGCAGAACCGTTGGAAGACCTTATCATAATGCTCGAAGACCTTAATCGAGTTTCCCAACAGGTAGGCCTTCGGATGAATATGGAAAAAACGAAGGTTATGTCGAATGTCCATGTTGCTCCTTACCCAGTTTCGGTTAGGAGCTCGATTCTCGAGATTGTTGACAAGTAAGTACATAAATGTCTATCTCGGACAAAGATCAGCTAGGTAGTTAGATGCAATTTCGAGAAAGAGGTAAATCGTCGAATACGAAGATGAAAGTCTTCAATTAGTGTGTGTTACCAGTGATGATATACGGCTCGAAAACGTGGCCTTTGAATATAGGGCACAACGTGCTATGGAGAGGGATAAGCTTGGTGTTTCTTTACGAGATCTAATCAGAAATGAGGAGCTCCGTAAACTAACTAAGGTCGCTGACATAGCCCGACGGATTAGCAAGCTGAAGTGGCAATGGGCAGGGCACATAGTACGCAGAACTGACGGTCCATAGTCCAGTAAAATTAATGTTTGAAAGGGAGTTGAGATGTCGTTCTTTGTTGACCAAGTACCTATGGCAAATGCTAAAATTGATTTAGAACAAGTTAAATTAACCATAAATAGTAAAGATATTAAAATATTTGCAGTGGAACAAAAAGTGATGGTGAGAGACATGAGAAAATCATTGGTCTTTGCCAATCATGTACTTTGGGCTTTGTGGCAGGTTGTGGCGAGTTTAAACGCTTTGTTTAAAATCTCAATTAAAACTTTTATCTGATTCCGATATTACGATATTGGGTCGCTCAATATCGGAATTGAAATATCGGATCTCGCAGTCCGAGATTCCGATATTACGAGATTCCGAGATTCCGATATTCATGCCCTAGTTCCATGCTATCACTTCATGATGTAGTTTTGGTGTTGAAGTGAACTTATTTATAAAACAGACACATTTTAAGCGATGTATGAAAGTGAATAAAAAATACAACGAAAGTCATAAATAGAAAGAACAAGCAACAACTCAGTAGACGTTATTTTAAAAATATCTACGCGAGACAAGTTTTCAAAGCCAGAAAAGTTAGCTAAGTTTGTAACGAAGAACATAGTTTGTAAACTAATAAGTTGGCTAATAAATATGTATTATGTTTACCTACTTCATAAGCTTGATAGTCTGATAGCAAAGTTTGTGTGTATGAAGACCGAGTTGGCAGCTTATATTTTAGCATGGAAATATTACTCCAATAAGGTTATAGGGATACATCTTTCACCTATCATAGGAAGTACCAGAATGCGGGCAGCGCAGGAGAGGTCGGAAATCCTTGGGGATGGCCTTTGTCACTGGACAACCACTTCTGAGTGGACATCATTTGGCTGAAACGAGCGAACGAACGAAACATTTTGTCTTTAGTTAGTGGTCAGTTTTCCCAAAGGAAATCCAAATCAGTCTCTGCCTGATTCCGACCGACCAAAACAGAATTCGCCGGCATATCATCAATTTCCCAAGTGCCTCTAAACGAGCAACACTGGAACATAAGTTGAGTGGTTGTTGGCAACCCTATCCAGCACAAACAAACATGTTAAACTATACGTTACGCAACTCTGACCTTTATAGGAACGTTACATAATGTGGCAATAAGCGTGCACGACCAAGTGCTGGGATTTATCTAGATGTACCGCTCAGCCGGTGACTTAATGCAAAGTTTGGAGCGCCGACAAAGCTGAAGTATTTCTTGAAGGAAAAGATGTATTTTGCAAATCCCTTAAGATAATACAGCCGCCTTTTGCGTATGTTAGGTAGGTGCTTAGATGTACGTTTGATGGTGAGGGTGAATAGAAAGAGATGCAGTGTACCTACCTATTAAATAGCGTATAATGTTAAAGCCACTCATCCGATCTCTTGCGTCAGTCTGCACTTGCTTGGTCACGATATGATTTATAACAGCAGAGTATGTTCGTTCGTTTCAGCCAAATGACGTCCACTGCTGGAAAAAGGCCTCTCCCAAGGTTTTCC